AAAATTTGGTACACAACATGGAAAAACCCAACAAACTCATCATTAGCACCTGTTTCCTTGGTTGCCATAGTCATTCATTTGTTTCATTGTCTAATTGATTAAAAAGAGTCTCATCTGGCCGGCTGGCCCTCATTGCCACTGTCTATTTATACCCTCAGTTAGCTTCTGTTCTTTGTCTTGTGTCAATGTTACTCTCTGAATGTTATCGCTGTTTGTTTCTATTAAATACTAATTCTGGATCAACAAGCCAGCAGGTGTGACATATGAGCAAGCGGATGGTTTCTTGTTTGCCTACACATTTCACGCGCACAAAATGTTCTTGTAATCAAATGAGAGTTTCAGTGCAGCTTCAAAGGGCTTTAAACGACACCAGGCGATGAATAAGGGTCTTATCTAGTGAAATGATCGGTCATTTAAAAAAATAATTTAAAAAGTTTACGTTTTATAAGCCAAATGCTCGCCTTGCTCTGTTCTGTGATAAGCGTTCGTGACTCTCCTGTTCAAACTCGTTCATCAAAATGAATCTAAATGATAGACGTTCCGTTCGTCTAAATGATATTTTACTGTCTCTCCAAACTCTTCTGTAAACTATTTCAAATTGAGGAGGATGCTGATTTTCATTATGAAAATGCCTGCCAGCGCATTATTAAAACACACACTAAAATGAGCTTTATTTTGCCCAAGTAATATTTTTATATATATATATATCAACCATTTATTTGAAGTTTTTGTCTAGGTGGAAAGTTAGTTTGCAGATGGGGTTCTTTTACTAGCCTGTTTTTATGGTTAGGTCATGAAAGTGATCAAACTAGAGATTTTCTGTTCAGTTTCACAGCTGGGTCTGGGCAAAGCTTCAAATGTGTGTTGTTGATGTTATCGCTGTTTGTTTCTATTGAATACTAATTCTGGATCAACAAGCCAGCAGGTGTGACATATGAGCAAGCGGATGGTTTCTTGTTTTCCTACATATTTCATGGGCACAAAATGTTCTTGTAATGTTCTTTGACGGACGGCCAGGTCATTTTTTTCCCTAAAAAATTATCACTTTAGAGGCTTCATAATATGGACACTATGTTCCTCTTAAAGGAGTAGTTCACTTTTTAAAAAACTTTTGCTGGTAATTTACTCACCCCCATGTCATCCAAGATGTCCATGTCTTTTTTTCTTCATTCAAAAAGAAATTAAGGTTTTTGATGAAAACATTCCAGGATATTTTCTCCATATAATGGACTTCAATGGGAACCAAACGGTTCACGGTCCAAATGAGAGTTTCAGTGCAGCTTCAAAGGGCTTTAAATGACACCAGACGATGAATAAGGGTCTTATAGTGAAACAATCGATAATTTAAAAAATAAATAAAAAAGTTTAAGTTTTATAAGCACAAACGCTCGCCTTTCTCTGTTCTGTGAATAGCGTTTGTGACTCTCCTGTTCAAACTCGTTCATCAAAATGAACAAATCTTTTTTTGAGTCATGACTCGAAGGGTCCTAGATAAGACCCTTATTCATCGTCTGGTGTCGTTTAAAGCTCTTTGAAGCTGCACTGAAACTCTCATTTGGACCTTGAACCGTTTGGTTCCCAATGAAGTCCATTATATGGAGAAAATCCTGGAATGTTTTCATCAAAAACCTTCATTTCTTTTCGACTGAAGAAAGAAAGACGTGGACATCTTGGATGACATGGGGGTGAGTAAATTCAAAATGTGAGAGACCACAAACATGACGATTAGATTCCTATGGTGTGCGGAGAAGATCCAATCGAAAATGATGTTGGCATAAGCGGAGTCGCATTTGCATAATTCAACTAATCCGGGTGAACGTGATTTCACGAAGTACAATATGTTCCTTGTTTATCCTGGAACCACATTCCAATCAACCAATCAGATTTGAGGGACAAGTTTACAGTTTATGTCAAGTTTAGATCCATGGTTAGGTGCTTCTACATCAGTGTTTTTTTTACCATTTATTGATTTCATGGATAACTTATGGGTGGGTTTATGGGAAGGAATAGGTTTAGGACACAATTTTCGGACATAAATATTGTTCCAGGAGCATGTGTTACTTGGCAAAATCCTGGTGACCTATCTGACCATCATCAAGTTTATAGGAGTACTCTCTAACACTTGTGGTGTACCCCAGGGATCCGTTTTGGGACCACTACTATTCACACTGTATATACGCCTGGGATCTGTTATGAGTAAATTTGGAGTGCCGTATCACTGTTATGTCAGAATCATTGTGCAAGATCTGCAGCAGATACGTTTAATGTATTCTATTTAAAGGCCCAAGTATCTTCTCACTATGTGTACTAACAGTGAAGCAGGCGATCTTGTAACTGAGCTATGTAGTGCATCAGAGCAATCGAGTTTAAATTCCATTTAAGGTATTACGATCAGACACAGGAGTATTGAAACATCAGATCACTGCCCTGTGTGTTCAAGAGTGTTTGTTGAACTGTATTAATGGATGTTTTCATATGAAAGTTCAGAAAATGCAATGACAGTTACGCCTTAAAATATTTTTGTAATGGATTATAAACCAAAAGCAAATTTAGTTTGTCCACAAGACACTATCTGTGAGCCATCTGGGAATGAAGGCGTCCAACATAATGAACTCATCAGGTCTCAGTAATGTCTGCCAGTTCCTCGAATCTCTCCATGCCTGAGTGCTCTATCTAATGCTTTTGATGCAATTTGAATTCAACATTGAATTATTTTATTTTTAATGAATTGAATCAGAACTTGGTGAGTAGCCCCCAAATGCCCACTTGATTTAGTCTCAAAATGGTGAGACCACTCAACCTGAATTCTCACAGATTCTTATGGCTGTAAAACACATGGATTCCAGCGATTTGCAAACAAAGGGCATCTGTTTTTTCAAATAGACACCAACAACTCCAACACCAACACCAGAAAAGGACCATAAAGCTTTTTCAATACAATAAGCCACTCTGTGGGAACTTGGTGAGAAATGGTCCTTTACACACACATTCACTTTATATTGGGGGAACGCTCCTGACTTCAGAGATAGATCTGTAGATAACATCTGTTGTGGATAAATCTCACAATTTTCATAAAACTGATTATGTAATATAATAATATACATCAAATATCTTCCTCGTGTCTTTTTCTTATAAGGATTCACATTACACAAGTCTGTTCTCAAATGATAAGATCTGTCGAATTCTGTCGAAAATGTACAGTACGTTCATAGGAGATTAAAATGTTAGTTTTTCCACCAAACTAAATGATATTTTACTGTCTCTCCAAACTTCAACTTCTGTTCTGCTGATTTTCATTATAAAAATGCCTGCCAGCGCATTATCAAAACACACACTAAAATGAGCTTTATTTTGCCCAAGTAATATTTTTTATAAATATCAACCCTCATATGAAGTTTTTGTCCACGTGGAATGTTAGTTTGCAGAAGGGGGTTCTTTTACTAGCCTGTTAGGTCATGAAAGTGATTAAACTAGAGATTTTCTGTTCAGTTTCACAGCTGGGTCTGGGCAAAGCTTCAAATGTGTGTTGTTTTACTTGGCTGCACAATCAAACTGTGTTTGCTTTGTGCATATATGTTTGAATACTGATGTTACATATATTTTCGTTTCATGTACTTAGTGGCTTTTGAGGTAGAGCTTTTTAAGTATTGCCTGCATTGATACCCTCAGGAGTTGGGTTCCCAAAATGTTTTTCATCATAATAACTGAAAGTGCTTATGAAAACCTTGCTTGTTATCGTATAAGCACCTTTGGAAATGATATCCACAAGGGATAATAATATTTATTTGATTTATTTGAATTAATGCGCAGTCAGCCTAGGGTCAATTCAAAGTATTTCTGAATTTAAATTACTGTGCAATGATTGCAAAATTACAGCAACTGATATGAAAGTTCTTATTTCCCTCTGTCCACAAAAATGAGAGATTCATGCGAGTGAATTGTTTCTTTTCTTTTTTCCTCTAAATAATTGGTGAGGAATTCCTTTTTCTCCACTGCAGCTAACCAGGGTGTTGGATGGGAAAACTTCCTGATGTTTGTGGGTTTGAGTCAGGGTCAGTGATAGGCATATCCCATGCCCAAACACGGCTTCTGCCAAGACCCTCATGAAATTCAGATAAGTAAATATGTCATATTACATTAAACTATTAATTTATCAGTTAGGAATAGAACAAAATACAAAAAAAAAGAAGAAAAATAACTCCGTTGTATAACATACTGAATGAATTATATTCAGAAAACTTGTCATTTTGTTGTTGTATTCCCTTTCAGTTTAATCCTTGATTACTCCCTAGTTAGTTGTCATGGTTACTGAATAGCTTCACAGTTCCCTTTGTTTGCCCTTAAAGCCAGCATATTCAAGAGAAAACGTAATTCTGAGTTTCTGTTTACTAAAACATCGCAATGTTTGTAAAAAATGCCTCATAATGCCACATTATAACTAATACGATTAAGTGAATGTCACTTCACAGTATTCAGAATGCACCTGTTTTGTATATGAGGTGTTATAAAGTTAGGGTTATAAATGCTACAATTTACTACAGCTCTTATAGTTTTAACTTGAGGCACACCAGAAACCACATGTTTGGTTTTTAAAAGAGGCCAAATTGAATGTCTTTCAGCTCAGAAGGTAAAATAATAAATAATGGCCTTGGTTAGGACTAGGTATAGGCTACATCAACATGAGCAAATTCCTCAACGGTGGGAAAGATTAGCTGCTAAAATTCCTGAAGTGGCTAGCATATGTGCAAATAACGTGTACCATATAGGCTATCTATACTCAAATAAGGAAATGTAAAGGGATCTATACGAAGTGCGCTACTTTTAATATCATGCTGTCATGTTTCATAGCATCAGTGGCTCCTCTGAAATTATAGGCAACACGTGTGTGTGCGTGTGTGTTTGAGCGCGCGTGCTCTCACCGGTGGGTGGTGTCAGCGCGCGCTATAAATCCAGTAGGTAGGCAAGATTTAAAAAAAAAAAAAAAAAAAAAAAATCGCATTTTGCTGAACACCAGAGATTTTTCAGAGATGATGAGGATGATGCTCAGAATTGCTCTCTGCACTGAAATGGACTTGTTTTCATTTACAAACTCGGATAACCGCGCCTGACAACTTTTTCCACAATTAACTAAGGACGCTGAAAAAATGGCTAAACTGTTTCCTGATACTCTTGTGTTAATTTTGAGTTTGTTAAACATTTTCACCGTGGGTAAGTGCTATTCTGAACCGCTGAGTTTTACATGAATGGCCTAATGCCTAAATTTATAGCCTATTTTTGTAAAATTGTTTACGGGTTTTAGTTTTAACTTAACTTAATTGTCCTCGTCACTGGTTGTTATATGGTGAATCAGGGTGAATCTAAAAAAAACCTGTATTCTACAGGTTCTATAAACCCAATATTCTACTACAATTGAGTTAAACCAAATTAAACCGAAGTGACCAAATTAAAGTTTATTTCTGGATGATTATGCCTTTTGCATTGTGATATTATTTTGATGTAAATTATTTTTACATGATGTTAAAATTATTATGAAAACGGTTCCTCAATAATGTACTGTAATGCTATAGCAGGTCTACTAATATGAAAAACATGTTTACATTTTACAACAAGGTTACTTATTTATTAACATTAGTTTAAGTAGGCTATATTAAAGAAAAAATGAAACATGCTTCTAAAGCATTTAATAATTGTAGTTCATGTTAATTTCAACATTTACTAATACATTATTAAAATTAAAAGTTGTACTGTTAATGGACATGTACAAATTAACTAACGTATTACTGTAACGAATTTATTGCTCATTGTTGTATTAACCAATGTTAATTTTTGCACCATGGTAGTGTTTGTTGTTATGTTTTAAATGTATACTTACCGGTATTTAAATTACAATTTTAGGTTACGCTTTATTTTAGGGTGACGTAGTTACATTGTACTAACTCAAATAAGTAAGTAATATTAATTAACTACATGTTAGTTACGGTTATGGTTTGGTTTAGGGTTAGTTACTTATAATTATGCATCATAATTTACTGTTATTGATAAGTAGGCTAAATGTATAGCGTGCAACTATGTCACCTTAAATTAAAGTGTTACAATTTTAGTGTTTATACAATTTTATACAGTACGTTATAATCTAACGCTTATTGAGAATAATGGGAATTATTAAAAAAAGTCACAAAATGAATCATAGTCCCAAATTGTGCTAAATGTGTTATATTAATGTGTTATAATAATGTGTTTTATATATCAACCCAGTGTGTGTGTGTGTGTGTGTGTGTGTGCCATTCTTGCTCTGTAATAATAATAATAATAATAATGATGCAATATTGTTCAAATTAACAGTTTATCATTGTCCCGCACAGGAGACCTGCACTCATTTCAAGACTTGTCTGATGATCCGAACAATATTTTACATCAGCAGACAGAAGCAGAGCTCATTTCAGCTTCACACACACACACAAGATCCAAGCGCTGCACCTGCTACTCCTTTAAGGACAGGGAATGTGTTTATTACTGTCACTTGGGCATCATCTGGATCAACACCCCACAGTGAGTACATTTACATTATCATCAATGAAAGCACTGACATAAATAATACAGAAGATCTTTTGCCATTGATGACTGAAATGTTTACATAAGTGTCACAAAAGTGTATTTCACCACATCTTATACAGTATATTAATCAATATTTTGCTCAATTATTTACTTTACCTCATTAGTCTCTTTCAAACAAACCAATGAATGTTGTACACTATAACATGTGTTAGCTACATATTAGGTTACAATATACACACACACTTTTTTTTTTATTATTTTTTTTTATTCTGAACATTCTGCAGACACATACATTCACTCATCTGAAGGTAGTATTATTGGGTGGCTAATTCGTAACAATTCGTACGACGTCACTCGTACGAATTCGTATGATTTTTGCTAAATCGTACATATTTTAGGAATTGGCCAATTCGTATGAATTCGTACGAATGACCTACCCCTGACCCCGCCCCTAAACCTACCCATCACGTGGATTTGGACAAATCGTACAAATTCATACGAGTGAGGTCGAATGAATTAGTACGAATTAGCCACTTTTTAATCACTCGTATGAATTCGTACGAATTGGTCGTGAGATAGCGTAGGTACACTCTCAGAAAAAAGGTACGAAAGCTGTCACTGGGGCTGTACCTTTTCAAAAGGTACACTTTTGTCCATTTTAGGTACTAATTTATACGTTTTATGTGCTAATATATACATTTTATGTGCTAATATGTACATTTCAGGTGCTAATATGTACATTTCAGGTCCTAATATGTACATTTTAAGTGTTGATATGTACATTTTAGGTGTTAATATGTACATTTGATGTGCTAATATATACATTTTATGTGCTAATATGTAAATTTTTGGTGCTAATATGTACATTTCATGTGCTAATATGTACATTTCAGGTACTAATATGTACTTTTTAAGTGTTTATATGTACATTTTAGGTGCTAATATGTACATTTCAGGTACTAATATGTACAGTTTAAGTGTTGATATGTTCATTTTAGGTGCTAATATGTACCATTAAGGTACCAATATACACCCTTAAGGTACAAAAGCATACCTTTTGAAAAGGTACAGCCCCAGTGACAGCTTTTGTACCTTTTTTTCTGAGAGTGTAGGTCTCAACAAAATTAACCCCTGGGAATAATACATTCTTAGTCATGCTGAAGAATCCATTTTGGAAGTCTTTTGTTCAGGCCTGTAGCTTGATGAATTCGTACGAATTTTACGAGGTGGCTAATTCGTAACATTTCGTACAACCTCACTTGTACGAATTAGTACGTTTTTGCTAAATCGTACGTATTTTACGAATTGGCCAATTCGTATGAATTCGTACGAATGACCTACCCCTGACCCCGCCCCTAAACCTACCCATCACGTGGGTTTGGACAAATCGTACAAATTCGTACGAGTGAGGTCGTATGAATTAGTTCAAATTGGCCACTTTTTAATCACTCTTACGAATTCGTACGAATTGGTCGTGAGATAGCGTAGAGTGACCTTTATGTTCAGGAGCACAGGACTATTTAAAAGTAATAATTGGATATGGTTGTTCTTTCTTTTTTTCTTATTAATTATTGGACCAACACTGTAAAGAATAAAACCGTGATTTTGTGGTTGTGGTTGCCAGAACTTTACTGTCAAAAATACGGTAGCAACGTTATTGGCTTTACAGACTTAACGTAAAATTTACAGTAATAAACCATATTTCATTATGTTATATAATGTTAATTTACCAACCATTTTGTACTATTGTAATACACTGACAACCTATAATCATCACAGCAGTGATGAGTCACATGATCAATCAAGGCTCATCACAAGTAGCTCTTCCACAAGAAGATTTATACTTCAAGAAGCTGCACAGTGACATTCACACAAACATTAAACACCATCATGGTTACACACATGAAATAAAAATAAAAATTGCAATAAACATTAATTTAACAACATTAAATGTAACATAAAACCCTAATGTACATAACTGATTAGAAAAAAAACAAGAAAACAACGAGGAACAGTTATTTATTTCAACAAAAATACACAAAATGTGGTGTCACGCAGGGAATTATGGGAATCTCAATTTACGTTTTTTTCACTGTAAATTATTCAATGACTTTTTCAATTTCAAAAATTGTAAATTTAACGGTATTTTACAGTAAAATTACATTAAATGTACCATGAGATTTACTGTTTATTGAAACTTTCAGTTAACCAATTAACAGTTTTGCACTGTATCATTTTAACAGTCTTTTACCATTAAAATCATGATTATTTTTTACAGTAAGAACACTGAGTATTTCGTAATTCAGCTTGGATTATTAAGGGGTTTGAGGATAAAAACATGTACAGTACAACCCCTGAAATTATTTCGTTAAGCTGCTAAAATGTACTGTTAAAAGTACTATATTTTTTACTAATTACATTAACTCTATACTAAATATGTCTATATAATATAATATTATTTTATATTATTTACAATTCATCCATGACTGAAATTAATTTTATTATTTTCATAAATATTTAGTTGAACCTGTCTGACAAGATTGCGTCATTGCCTTAATAATGTTTACACTTCAAAATATAGACGCCTAAACTAAATTTCTAGTTTTCTGCAACACTTAGCGCATGCACATTTTGATGTGACTGTGTTTCCATGGTGACGGCTACTGTCCATGGTGCTGATGTACATGGTGCTCAAAAATTTAAGTTTGAATAACATTACTTTTAATGGCCAGCACAAACCATTATATTTAATTCAAAATAAACCCTGCTTCTCTGCCCGATTGGCTATAGTGGCCCGAATACCAAAATAGCTAAAAGGATTAAAAAAGGAATCATATGATACACAATACCTAATACTCTCTATTTAATCTCATAGACGACAAACACATGATTAAACCATATCATATGGTTACAGCTCGCAGTCAAGAGTGAGTTATCGCTACAGTTTTTAGCCAAATACAGGAGGGATCGCCACAGGACTTTTAGTAGTTTTTCCGACTAATGTTGAGCTATTCGAGACCCAACACTCACCATGAAAATTGACAGGCAGTCTTTCAGGAATCTGCTCGGACCCCTGGCTCCAGACTGAAACCAAATGGTCAACATGAGAACAAACACTTCTGATGTGAGATGAGAAGCATGCGTTCAGAAAGAGAGGACTAAAGAGAGTGGCTGGAGATCAGAGAGAAGCTCATATAAAGTGCATGGAAGCTTTCCCAGATGAAGCTGCTGAACGATTTTTGGCCGTTGTTCTAACTCATTGTCTTCATAGAGCCAGTCTCTTAAGGTTTATCTCCAACAATGTGATTCCAGCTTTGTTTTGGGTGCAAGGTATTTCGGAAGGTATTTTTCTACTATATGACTTTCTTGCTTCAGTGAACATTAAAGATGAAAATCGTTTTGTTATTATTGTTTTTTTTTTTTTTTTCATACAATGGAAGTCAATCAAAACTTTTTGGTTACCAAAATACCTGTATTGTGCTCTTAAGAAAGAGAGTCATACAGGTTCGAAAGGGCATGAGGGTGAGTAAATGATGACAGGACTGCATTTTGGTGACCTGTCCCTTTAAAATACTGTAAAATACCATGTAGATCACTGATTGGTCTGAGAGAATCATCACTACCAGCATCATTGGATTTGAGACACGAGACAACAAACCCACTAGATTTAAAGTTCCACTTTAGTCATTAACTGAAAAACTTTTAAAAAATCGGAGAGTAAAACTACTCTTCATGTCTTAAAATAGATTGAATGTAACTCTACACCCGACCCTTGCCTCATTTAGTATACACAATTCTATGAATATGCAAATGAGCCCTGCCTCCACTCACTCACACTAGATCAGAGATCCACTCGTTGACGATCAATATAGCAATATATCCCCTTTGAATGCTATATTCTTGAAACTTGGTTAAAGCACTGTGAAATGCAAAATTAGCACATTTACGGACTTGACTTTATATGACTGGACACAGTGTGTGTGTGTGTGTGTGTGTGTTCATCTGTGTGTTATGCCAGGGTGGATGAACTCAGCACAGTTTGTGCCATGTGTGGTGAGATTTATATTTTAATAATCTTTTTGGCGTGATTGTTTATGTTCTGGCTCGACTTTTCTGCCTGTGTTCTCATAGCATTTATTCACTATTAAAACTAAATTTCAACTCGATTTACCAGGCCGCCCGTTGTCTCCAAAGCAATACCGTACCTCTTCAGCATCAGTCCAACTGAGTGAGACTATTCTGATTATGTGTTGTCACTCATTTTTTTAATGACAAAGAAAAAAGTTTTTAATTTAGTGTAAAAAGCACACAAAAAAAAAACTGAAGGGAAATTAAAGCACATTTCATGTGTAACATACTGAACATAAAGGTCATGTACACACTGGACAGCATTTGGAACAACAACCATATTAAAATGCGCTAAAGAATCCCCTAATTTATGCCAGTATTATTATTGTTGTTGGCAATAGACATTCTGCTGACTATAAGAAACTTTGCAAGTACATAACTATTAGTCATTAAAGCATTAGTAGACTCTGTTTTATATCGGCTAACACTTTTATTTTGATGGTTCCCTAATAGACATTCTACTAACTATAAGTTACTTTACAATTACATGAACCTATATCACATAACCCTGACCTAACTGGCTATACAGTTTACTAATACTGTAATGAGAGTTAGTTTACATGTTGTAAAATTACTTACATAGAATGTCTAAAGTGGACCGTCGAAATAAAGAGGAACCCAGCGTTTGACATCTAGTGGCAGTAGACAAGAAAAGAGGATAGCGACAGTCTTTTTTTACAGTCTACAATTATTGATTATTCTTTTTTTTTTCTTTAAAAAAGAAAGAAAAATATTTGATCAATAAGGCATGAAAATTAGTTTTTTTTTACATTTCAACTTTTTAATGTAATATAAAATTAAACTCATCATTTTTGTTTTTTTGTCAGTTTAATATAATTTAAGTTGAAATAACTTGTACAGCCTATTAGATTATACTTAAAAATTTAACTTAAGGAAATTATTAATAGTGTGCGAAGAAACACTAACTTTTGTTAATGTGTAATTATTTGATGAAAACATTTGATCATAGGAAAAGATATAATATATAGTAAAAACAAAAGTTTGTGTATGTTCTGTTCTGGTGTCTACAGACGCACAGTTCCCTATGGCATGTCAAGTTACCGCAGCCCTCAGCGACTGAGACGCTCCACTGGGACAGTAGCGGTGGCGCTTCATCGCTGCACATGTGCTGACCACAAGGATGCCCAGTGCTACAACTTCTGTGATGCAAGGTATACATAACTAATAATAACAGTACTACTGTCAAATATTCAAATAAATGTTTTATACTGTATTACATTTTAAAACGTAATTTATTTCTGTGATGCAAAGTGTCCTCGGGTTACGACTGTAACCCTTGTTCCCTGAGAAGGAAACGATAACTGCATCGAATGACACTTTGTGTAGCACCTCTGAAGCATGAATGAAACTAAGCCAATCTCCGATTGGTGCAACATCATAACGTAATGTGTGACGACATATAGACAGGAACTTCCTGTGAGATGGAAAGATGGATATATGGACGTATGCGTCCTTTAGATCTATCATGACAAACCAATCCTCGGATTGAATTTGACTCACAATCGTGGGAATAGTGAGCATCTTGAACCTGAATCTCAGAGAATGGGAATAGAGAATATTTTACCAAGGGAACCAGGCTCTCGACCCTGGCTTTGGTTATTATTCATTCTCGACCCCCTGAAGCGTATTTCCGGCAGGGCTGGACCGAAAATGATTCTCGGGGGGGGGGGGCTCTAGACGAGACGCTCTCTTTTTGGGCCTGTCTGTAGGCGGAGGAGCTGGTGGATGACTCTGGCTGCCCACTGGGGGCAGACTTCTTAGACTTCGAGCGGCGAGGGAGATATTTTTTGAAGGTCGCCAATTGTTTCTTCGCCTCCCGAAACCTGTCAACAACGGTATTTACAGCGTCACCGAACAGGCCAGAAGGCGAAATTGGGACATCAAGGAGGAAAGCGCTGTCCTTCTCCTTGATGGCCAACAGATTTAACCATAAATGTCTCTCCAAGACCACCACGAGAGGAATCTGGTCTGTTCTACGACTAAGTCGGGAAAAAACGGTAAGCCCCAGTGATAAGGTTGCTCTTTGTGCTGCAGGAAGCGCTCGTCCAACTTGCTCTTAGTATGCGCTTCCTGCTTCTCATGTGGTCAACTGATTTTAAGACGGGCCACAGCACGAGAGACAACCTCCACCAGCTCCTCATATGTGGGGACATGGGGTGGCGAGTCATCCCCAAAATCCCCACCCTCGATGATGAGCGCATCTACCTCCTCAAAGGCAGACAGCTCAACCATCGGGTCCTTGCTTCCACGCGAGGCTCGAGAACATCCAAACTGCCCGAGGAATCCTGAGAAGGTGCCTCAGCAGCCTCAGGATCCTCAGACAGATCTATTTGCGAGCCCCATGAAGAGTTTCTCTTAGAGATTGGCTTAGTTTCAGAGGCGCTACGCTGAGGGGCATTCCCCCCAAAGTGTCATTCGGCACAGTTTGAGTTCCCTCCAAAGGGAACTACATTTTCAGCATCATTACTTCAGTCTTCAGTAGCTGCGTTTACATGGACCCTTTTAATCGAATTCACGGCTCAATCGGACTAAAAAACCTTCATGTAAACACCTTAATCGATCCGATTGAGCTCGATCCGACTAGAATTTCGATCGGGTTGAAAGGGGTGGTTTACTCCTTTTGTAATCCGAGTGAGAGAACATGTAAACACTTGATCGGATTGAAAACCGAAACTAAAAGGACTGCGCATGTGGACGTATGACGCACGGAATGAGCTGTTCTTCCTGTTGAATAATGTTCCGTTATTAAAAAATTCTCATTTCACTCCATGTCTGTGAAGTGAAGCAGGACAACGTCCCACCAGTGCTTGTTTTACATTCTCATCCACACACGACTTTTGGGCGCGGGCTTTTACTGCGTGATAATCAGCACGGCAAAACGGTTCATGCTCATCGTCTCCAAATCATGACCAGAGACGAATAAAAATTAAAAAGACGGATAAAAGGGTCTGTTGTTTAAAACAAATACAGAACCAATAGGGGAGAATAGTTACGCTTATGCGTGAACAGTGGCATATTCGTGCAGTGTGCACATGTCAAAAAATCAATTCCGATTTGAATCTTGTGACATATAAACGCGCACATCAACCCGATCACTTTATTTATCATTCATGTAAACACCTTGATCGGATTCATCAATCATATTGATTTCAATCCGATTGTGTCCATGTAAACGTAGCTCGTGTCACATGATCCTTCAGAAATCATTCTAATATGATGATTTACTGCTCAAAAAACATGTTTTATTATTATTATTATTATTATCAATATTGTGCTGTTTAAACCTTTTGTGAGAAAACGTGATACTACCGATAATACGTGATAATAATTTTATTCAGCAAATGACACATTCAGTTGATTAAAAAAATGACAGTAACATGACATTCATAAAAAAAAATCCTTCTAAACTTCTCATGTCAGACAATGGAAATGATCACACACATTTACACATCAACAATGCTTTGTCTTTGTCTTTTTTAAATCTAATTCATAATCACTCAATTTAATAAACTGCGTTAAAAAAAAACAGAAAAACAATAGATTGATAAATTCTCAGATTCTAAAGAAAATCATAGCTCATTCTGAATGTCTGATTCCATTATTATTCAGTGTGTGATACTGTATGGTTCTGTTTTGAATTATCAAGAACACAGAATGTGCCAGAGAGAAGATTGCGAGGACGTACACCTGGGTAAAAGCGCTGGCTTCTCGTCCCATCATGAGCCTCTGTATAGGACTAATGATCAGCATCAAACCGGGCACCTAACTTGGTACAGGTTTTGGATTTTTACCAGATGTGGAGCAAAACATACCCTGCATTCCTCTACGTGTTATAGTTCCTGGAACACCCTTTCCTCATCTGGTCCACGGTAACAAGTGAATTCTTTAGACAACTCTGCAGATTTCGGAAGGATGTCTGTGTGGCACCCACATGTTTGCTCTCATTATGTCCACTTGTTTCAGTGTTTCACACTGACTTTACATCTACATTTAATGCACATACTCAGTGGACATCCTTTGGGAATTTAGGAGTCTTGGAAGTAGACCTGACACTCATCATTATCTCCACTTTGTGGGCATAATTTCAGAGAAAGCACATCGAGGGATTACTGTGTGAGGATGGAGATGAAGTAGGTCTTAAATTTGTACATGTACTGAGGCTTCTTCACTCTCCCCGATAGTGGAAAATGAAACACTTAAGATTGTTATTGTGGATGAACTCAACTCGTCTTCTGAGAGAAAGATTAACTGCCACAATTTATAACCTCTAGATAATATCCTATACATTTTTACTCATTTTATCCCGTCTCCACAACAACTTATACTAACAACTTATACTTATTCAACTATACTAAACTATGACCTGAGAGTTTAATTTATTTATGTTTAGGTACCAAAACGCTTTATTCACCAAATCATTTAACCCTCTGCTATTGTTCATCAAGGAGTCATACTTGTGTTGTGATGTGACCGAACATCTGAAATAACATATTTTTGTTTAATATTTTTCCTTTTGTATTTTGAGAGGATGTTATGTTCCTAATTAATATAAATGCAAATTGTACCCCCCCCCCCAATTGGGGTCAACACAAGTGTAACTATTTATTTTATTTTTTATTTTATTTTTTTGTGGTTACATAGCAACTGCACAAGAGTCACTGAGTTTCCACCCTTTCGAATAGCGATTTTTCAAAATTCAAAACATTTTTTTTAACAACAGAGGGTTAAGAATACTTGCCTTCAACACCTGCAATAGCTTATTAGCAATAATAATTTGTATATAGTTTCACTACTACTTAATTTGCATTGGTAACATTTGTATTTGTTAAAGCTTTTAATTATTAAATTGTCATTTTAGACCGATATTAATGTCAAGCTTGATTTATTATGAATCACTAGGGTGTAACAATATATCGCAATACAAAAATGCAGCAATCGTGGATAGTCCCCCCAAAATAAAAATTCAAGTTTACAGAGTTTTAGTGTATTAATTTAAAATTGTATTTATTTGCAGTCAGTTTCTGGCTTGTTATATAAATATTAACTGGTAATGTGACCTGCACGTTTCAATGTTTTTTTGTTTTTGTTCTGTGCCTACACTGTCAGAAAAAAAGGTACGAAAGCTGTCACTGGGGCGGTACCTTTTCAAAAAGGTACACTTTTGTACCTAAAGAGTGCATATTGGTACCATAATTGTACAAATATGTACCATGAAGGTACCAATATGCACCCTTTAGGTACAAAAGTGTACCATGAAGGAACCAATATGCACCCTTTAGGTACATAAGTGTACCTTTTGAAAAGTGACAGCCAGTGACAGCTTTCGTACCTTTTTTTCTGAGGGTGTAGTTTATATACATAGTTTAGACAGTTGGGCTTCCTGATATAAAACTCTCTCAGTATGTCCAGCATGTCCCTCTGCTCGTCTTGAAACTGGGGTTTTGGTTTAGGTGGTGGAAATTGTGTGCTTTGCATTATTCATCCAGTTCTTCAACATCTTATCCGAGACCAGTGTGTCAGTTCTGGAGTGTTTTTCACATCAGCTGTACCAATAAGCGTTTTCACAACATGCTGTACCAAAACCCAAATGTTTCAACAACTGTAATTGTTAGAGAGATTGGATGAAATACTTTTGCCTGAGAAATTGTAATTGAAGCAAAGAATGTGCTGGTGGTATTCTGCATTTCAACGACATTCCGATCATGAACAAAAACATCTGATTTTGTAAGATGTGGCATCTTGCATAACATTTAATCTTTGTCTTTGAATATTACATTATTTGAGCCCAGCTATGGATTTAATAAGTTAAAGGGATATTCTGGATTAAATAAAAATTTTGACTGCCTCTATGATGAGGCAGTCTATAAAATATCTGAGTTACTTTTTCAAGTTCCTGTTTTCCCATTGACTTGACAGCTCTCATGTCCGTATGTTGATTTATTTGATGACAATGACGTTTAAAAGAAAACCATTTTGCATCGTTGCTGAATAAAAAATGTAATTATAAATATCCGTTATTTTATATTTCCTATACCTAAAAGCCTCTAGAAGAAAGCCAGAACTATTATTTTGTAATATGTCTTGCAAATGTATGTTTTGAATATATTCTGTATCAGTAAATCTGGTCTATAACAATAACACCAGGTGTGTTACATGGTTTTGTGAAAAACTGAATCAAAAGTGGATCCATTCCAGTTATAATATCATAACATTGAGATCACATTTCAAACCTGCAGTCTTTTTGCATACTCATCAACTAACATTGTTAACGACGGGTAAGGTTTCACTTATAGGGACTTGACTATAATGTATTGATCATTTCCACAGAGCTCAATCATAGCCCTTTCCCAGGTGCCTGTACTTAATACAGTCTCAGCATGCCTCTTGTTTTCATCTATGCTCCGGTGCACAAGTGGAACGTTTTAAAAAACAAGGGCATGGTAATTGCTTTTAGGCATAAAGGGAATTTTTGATCCTCTTGTGGCAATCTTTCACAGACAATTAAGCATGTTGTCTTGATGATCGACAGCCACTGCGGCTGGAGATATCAAACTCATTCTAGAAGCAGCTGACAGGAGCAGTTTTATAATAACAAGTTTCTGGTCCTCAGATGCACGATGCTAGCTGTGGAATGATAGATAATCTTTGTTTAATGGCCACCTTTCTTGCAACTAAATACAATATGTGATGGTGATGTGTATTAGAAGGCGAGATTATAGATCCATGATCTGTATACACTGCTGTGTTAATGGTGTGAACAGTAAGTGTTTACTGCGAGAGTGCTGTTGACTGAGAAATTCTAGTGTGATGTGACAGTGATGAATTATTGCTCCCCCCCCCGATCATTGAACTACTTCAATGTGATGTATTTCTGTGAAATACGGTATTTATCCATACTCGAATGGAGCCAAGTGATTCATTTGGAGCAAGATTCATTTTTGAAAGATTATGAAAATAACTTTTCTTGTAATGCTGTGTGCTCATTAATTGTTCAAAATGATTGTTTTATGCAGGGTTGTCCGCCATTCAGAAGTGATTTGAGAATTTCTCAAAATGAATTGTAGCAAACAAGAAAACGGCACTTCAAATGTGAATTAAAATGAATTTAAAAATGATATGAAAGAAGCTAAATTTTAATTAGAAAAGCAAAGTTTGTCAGGGGTAAGAACATCGGCTTGAACATAAAGTTATTGACAGAGATAGATTATGTTTTTTTTTTAGTGTGTTTTTGAAAATGTTTTTGTTTTTTGAAAGTCTTTTATTCTCACCAAGCATTTATTTCATTGAAAAAAATACAGTAATATTGTAAAATTTTATTAGAAAATTTCTATTTAAATTTATTTTAAGATTTTTTTATTCCTATGAAGGCAAAGCTAATTTTTCAGCGTGAATACTCCAGTCTACAGTGTAACATGCGGTGTTGGGGGGAACACATTACAAGTAATGCAAGTTATGTAATCAGATTACTTTTTCAATTAGCTTGTAAAGTACTTTAGTTAGTATTCGTCAAAATGGATAAAAACAGTGAAATGCAAACTCAGAAGATTACACAAACCTTCAATAACAGAACACAAATATACTTTATGTATTTAATCTCACTTTATTAACCAATGTCTTTGCTGCTGACCTTTGATGATCCAATCCAATTTTCTGAATGCTAAAGAGTGTTATTCTTCTGCAATCCTGGGGTGCGTTTCGCGAAAGCATCGTTAGCCAACTATGGTCGCAAGTTGGTCGCACATTGAGCTCTATTGGTAATGACGGAACTTGCGACCATAGTTGGCTAACGATGCTGTCGGGAAACGTGCGTTCCAACGAACATTCGGAAACAGCATCGCAAAGTTGTGTGGTTTGAACGACAGCTCTCGACCTGTAGAGGCATCGTTTCTATATTTCATGACATTTGGAAGTAATAAATCCTTATCTTGAGCAAAATAAGCAAGATGACATTCAGTACAACCGGTGCCTTTTATTTAGAATACATACAAATGGAATTTACGTCTTTTAGTTTGTCAAAAGATTTAAAGTACCGTGTTTGAAGAGTGCACATGTGCGAATGTGCTCTACTATGTAAGAACGAGCCAAATATTGAGTCTGGTAATAAAGCAGAACAACTGAGAACAATTAGAAATAGTCCTCAGATGACATGTCTGTAATTTCTATATAACAAATCTAGCGTTAATTGGATCTCAAACAGTTTCATTAAAAGTAGTTATTACTCCACCACGTGCGAAACCAACGTGGTTGAACGATACTTTGCGACAGTGGGTTTCGGGAAACAGTCGTGACTAGCTAGTTGATTTTTCCAACGATGCATCGTACTATGGTAGTGAAGCAGCGAACTACGTCGTTGTACAGGAAACGCACCCCAGAACGGCAGCACAGCTGAATTGTTTGTTTGAGCTGCGCCCTCTACTGTACAGACAGGAAATTGCATTTGTTTTTGCATTTGCACTTTTGGCGTGAAAAGACCTTTACCTTTGCTAAAAACAGAAATTTAGTTGTTGTTGTTATTAAAAACAAACCAGCAAGCCCCACCCAGGTGAGAAAAAATAACACTAAAGTAACTTAACACATTACTTTCCAGTAACCGTAACACAATTAGTTACTTTTTAAAATGAGTAATGCCATATTGAAACTCATTACTTTTAAAAGTAACTTTCCCCATACCCCACAATCCTTCAGAAATGAATATGCTCTTAATACTCTTAATATGCGGATTTTGTGTGCAAGAAACATTCTTTATTATTATCAGTTGAAAACAGTTGTTCTGCTTAAACATTTTGTAGAAACTGTGATGCAATTTTTTTAGGAATAGAAAGTTCAATAGAACTGTGTTTATTTAAAAAAAAATTGTAACATTATAAATGTTACTGTCTCATTAGATCATTTGAGTTGTGAGATGAGGCCAATTCAAATTCACACTCACGAATCGAAAGTGAGCCAGTTGTTCAATTATTAAATTTGCCCAATAACCCTGTATTAAGAAATCAATATATATATATATATATATATATATATATATATGAATAGTTCAGATGCAAAAGCCTCTAAATGCCATTTGAAATTTTCTTCTTTAATGATGATTTTTATCAAACTTGTATATTTAAGTTCAGTAATTTCACTTAAATTACAATTAATAGGTAATAATCATTGCCATTTAAGTGAAATCACTGAACTTAAATATACAAGCTTGATAAAAATGATCATTCTAGAAGAAAATTTCAAATGGCACTTAGAGGCTTTTGCATCTGAACTCTTCATATATATATATATCTATCTCTCTGTTTTGAATTGTTTTGGTCAGATTGGTCCCCATTTTGGGAAACACTCTGCATGTTAACTCTTAAATAATGTATAATCCGCAGTCAAGTCATGTTTGCTTGTGATGTCTTAATGTGTTAAATGCATCCATTGACTTGATTGCCAAATTAATCTTTTATATGTCAACTGTGCATTATTTTTATTTTTTTAAATCTAGTTTGTTTGTATACTGTGATATAATAATTCAAGTCTTAATTTCAAGCTCATGAGACCCACTGAAAGGTTCTGCTTATCAGTACTTTTTGATTATTAGTTGGCAAGTGTTTGGATGGCTGTCTCCAGGAGAGAGGCTGGCTCCAAACCTGAAGATGTCCATTCCAACCACCAAGGCTGCGAGTCAGACTGCATTATGTTTGGTTAGAGGGTTTTGACCACACATACCAGAGCCTGGAGCCATGTCTTAGCATTTGATAACACTTTAGTCGTAATGGGAAAATCTGTCGCAGCTCTTCAGGAGTATTTAGAGGTTGATTCAATATCCCTAAGCTATAAATTGTTCCTTTCTGAGCTCTAGAGGACATGCAGGTTGTTTTTCCCCCACATTTTCCCTGACCAGAGCACCAGAACCACAACCTCAAACCTGGACAGGACAGCATAAGAAGTTCATCCCAGCTGGGATCTTTCCCTATTTGGGGCTGAGCTGTCAGGATAAAGACTGCACGCCATATCCTGGCCGTATCGCTACTGTCCCACTCAGAGGCAATTACCCTCCACGCCAACATTCCACGTAGAATCCAACAATGCTTAGAGAAGCTCTGGGCTGAGGACTCTGGACCAGCGCCACAGAACAAGGAGCTGTTTCACCACAGTTTGTGTTTGCTTCTCACATCTCCCAAGGAGAGCTGAAGGATAAAAACATACTTGCCCAGGCAGTCGGCATGGCTGGATTCATACAGGTAATCCTTTCTCTATGTGTAAAGGATTCTGCTGATCCATGGATGAAGTACATTTCATCCCCCGAGATTTACTTTGCTTTTGAAGAGATGGCAGATTGGTTTTTATAGATAATTGTCCATTTGGAGAAGGAGCGTATTGATGTCAGATTTTATGAACTGAGAGCTCGAATCACACAGCTGCAGAACATTATCTACTGCGGTCAACATGTCCCGTCTTGGTCAACTCACTTAACAATCACTTGAACTTTCACATAAAGTCAGTGCCCACCAAAGTCAAGCGTCATTTGACCAAAAACTCCAAAACCAAACACAAATAATGGGCCTAGGATGTTGTACATGTTGGAAAGGGCCCTACCAAGTGACTGAAATAAGGCTTAAAATTAATTAAAGTTTAATTAAACATTAAAAAATATATCTAACTTAATTAAACACAGAATAGGATTTATATCGAACATAAGACCTACATTAACAAACATTAAAACATGTCTCATCGCATCTTCTAGTCGGACAAAATTGCTAGGCCTAAGGCCCGATTCACATTGTACAATTTTGGGCTGTCCCAGACGAAAGATGACCAATCTTGGTGATTTCTGTGGTTGTGGCTCTTAAACACTGCTCTTATAGTGAGAGAGGTTCAAAGACCCAAAGATAGCTAGTAATATTGTCAGAAGTTTAGCATGATCATCTCACAGTGTGTTTGCTGCTATGACTTATGTCTACTTACTAGCCAATAAAAATAAAACAAAGTGGTATGTGGATTAATGCGACATGATGCTATAACTTAAAACCAGTGTTGTAGTCGAGACCACCTCACTCGAGTCCGAGTCGACACCGAGACCAGAGAGAGTCGAGTCCGAGTCAAGACCGAGTCCATAGAGAGTCGAGTCCGAGTCGAGTCCGAGACCAGAGACGGTCGAGTCCGAGTCGAGACCGAGACCAGTGAGGGTTGATTACCTAATTTACTTTTATTTACTTAGAGAAATCCTTTTTTTTTTTTTTTTTACTGAATTTACTTAGTTTAAAAAATATGATCAGTTTAGGGTAAAAAGGCCACATAGTAGGTGGTGTTAAAAGTAATTTTATTACAATTTGTCATGCGCAGTTGCGCACTACAAAAACACCAATCACTGGGTGTGTCAATCAATTTAAAGAAATATTTTATTAACATACATTAATAATCATGAAAAATATTTTTAATTGAACTCGAGTGGACTCGGGAATAATTCCGAGTCCTAAAAAAAAAAAATGTTCGAGTACGAGTCAATTCCGAGTCCAAATGGACACGAGTCCATGACAAGACCAAGACCATTAAAATATGGTCTCGAGACCGAGTCCGAGTCTCGAGTACTACAACACTGCTTATTACTTCAAGCTCCATTTGCAAAATTTGCCATGCAAAGTTGGCCTCTTTTCCTATATTCTCCTCTTTTTTCAGTGCACATAAAGCTAACCTGGCTAAAGATAGGCTATATATCGATATATTGATTTAGATATCAATCTGCATGCTGGACATCAGTTATGGCCATCTTTATTAGCTCCTTTGATAGTGAGTAAAACAGCTTAAACGAAGCACATAAAAAAGACCTGAACCGGAATCATTTTACAGAAGATATGTTTGTTGCATATCAACCTATTTTTTTTACAGTCTATGATATAAGCCCCCAAACTGCTTTGGAGTAGGCCTAAACAAGGTTGAATCACTGATATGCTAGATCATCTAACTGCTGCCTTTATTCTGCTCGACATGTTTATTTGTGTCAGATATTAAGACAAAAAAAAAAATATGCTGGTTGAAAAGAAAGTGTTGTCAGATGACGTTCGTTTACTCGTGTGCATCGTGAAGATTTTGTTTCCTTGTGGATTATTTTATTAAAATGATGCTGCCCCCTAGTGTACATTCGTGATGTTTATTCCAAGGCACAAATCTTTCCAGCATCATAAAATGAATGCGTTCCTAACTTCATTCATTTGTCTTTTCAATTAATAGGAAATATGTGGTATGAGAGCAGAGTATTTGAAGAGTTCAGATGCAAAAGCTTCTAAATGCCATTTGAAATTTTGTTCTTTAATGATGATTTTTATCAAACTTGTATATTTAAGTTCAGTAATTTCACTTAAATAACAATTAATAGGTAATTATCATTGCCATTTAAGTGAAATTACTGAACTTAAATATACAAGCTTGATAAAAATGATCATTCTAGAAGAAAATTTCAAATGGCACTTAGAGGCTTTTGCATCTGAACTCTTCATTTATTGATTTATTCATACATGTTTGTTTGTAAGGTTTTAGATATATAAAAAGTAAACTTTTTATAAGGTTTTATATATATATATATATATATATATATATATATATATATATATGTATGTATGTATTATATCATAGACAGGTTTATGGTTTATATGCAGTCCGCCATATTGGAACGGTCAAAGCCTGCAACATCAACATACATTTATTTTACATGTCAATGGTTTGCAACCGTAGACGCATAGTCGAATGCAGATAATGTATAATAGCACAATCGACTTCAGCAGATGATTTTGCAAAACTAACACAATAAAACAAGACGAAGGCGTCAGCTAAAACAACAATAATAAGTTACAATGCTACAAGTAAACACATTAAAAAGTAACATAGTACAATCCTGTAATATTGAGTTGATACAAATTAAAACAAACACATTCTCACATGTAAAATGTTAAACTATTTCTTCGGGAATTTAAATCTCTGTCTGTGATTTCACAACCAGAATCTGAACGGTGTGGCATCATTCTTACCCTACCTAACGATAAGCAAACCGTTCCAAGATGGCGACGACACGTCTGTAGTGGAGCACAGTAAAAGGTCTGGAGGAGTGATCACCCCCCACAGAACGTCACTGCGGAATACTGCGAGGCGATTGGTCCGCGGTGATTCACTATGACAACAACAACACCACCACAGTTCTAGTCTCACGCTGCTGGTTCCGCTGTTACTATTGTTAGTTTCTGACATGTCCAAGAATAAGGTAAGCCGGTGACGTTTGAAACAAAAATATATACAATAACTATTTCTGCACACTTTCTTTCAAATTAGAGCTGCATTACAAAACGATGTGACGCTCCAGCTCTAATAAGGTTTGCTGTAAAAAACAAAAACACAGTTTTTTATTTTATTTTTTTACTTTAAACAGCAGACAGCTGGACATAAAGGTGCCTACAGTTCTCAGAGGAAAAAGGAAGGGTAAGTCTGTTAGCTTTTGCTTTCTAATACAACAATGAATGGCATTCGAAAGTGGCAGCAAATACATTTAACCTTATAATGTTACAAAAGATTTACATTGCAATCAAATGACGTTCAAATATTCATAAAAATGTATCACGGTTTCAACAAAAATATTCATTAATCAACATTGACATAAATAAACGGACAGTTCACCCAAAAATGTAAATTCTGTCATCATTTTGGGTTGACTATCCCTTTAATAAATTACATTTTAAAACATATTCAAACAGATAATATTTATTGTAATTAAAAATTGACAATATTACTGTATTTTGGACTAAATAAATGCAATCTTGATGAGCATAAGAGGCATTTTTCAATAACATTAAAACAATCTTTTAGTGGCAATGCTTGTACAAACTGCCTTTTGTAAAAATATTTTAATATTTTCTCTGAAGTTCAAACTGTAGTCTTTGTGTTTGTATATACATGTGTATGAATAAAAGGTAGTTGAACAATCCAATGTGGTTAATTTTCAGGGAGGTAAGGAGTTATATACGATACAGATGTGGCCTGACCAACACCATTCAGGATGTCCTAAACCAGAGACCAGGCTGGGTAGAGGTGAAAGAGTAAGTGCTGAGCTTGTACCGTGCGTGTTTTCGAACCCTACGGTATGTACAGCATCATCTTTGCATCATGCATTCATGTCTCTCCATACAGTGAAGGTGATTGGGACTTTAACTGGTGTGATGTTGGATGGCTGAGAGAGAACTTCGATCACTCGTACATGGAGGAACACGTGCGGATATGTCACTTTCGCAACCACTACGAGGTCAGTATCATGAATAGTGTAGAATAGCAGAATAGTGTGCATATTACAATCGAATGACGGTTAACAGAAAAAAATCATGATTTTTTTTTTTTTTTTTTTAGCTGACTCGTAAGAACCTGATGGTAAAAAACCTGAAGAGGTATAGAAAAAATTTAGAGCGGGAGGCTGGGCGTTTAGAGGCAGCCAAATGTGACTTTTTCCCACGGACGTTTGAGCTGCCCAGTGAGTATCACATATTTGTGGAAGAGTTTAAGAGAAGCCCAGGGAGCACTTGGATCATGAAGCCTGTGAGTGTTTGCGGCAGTACAATACTACCAAACCGATCATCAACAGGTTATCCATTATTACAATAACTTCCCATCACAGGTGGCACGATCTCAAGGGAAAGGAATTTTTCTGTTTCGGAAACTCAAAGATATCATAGATTGGAGGAAGGTAATACAAATTGGACAACACTGAATCTTAAATCTTACATTTTCCCAAACATGCAAATTCTTTCATTAGTTGCTCACCCTCATGCCAAACCTCTATGTTGTGCAACGGTGCTGCTGTTGGTTTTAGGATGGGACCCGCTCTGAAGAACAGAGAGACGAGGCTCAAGTTGAGAGCTATGTCGCTCAGCGCTACATCGAAAATCCCTACCTCATAGCTGGTACATCTAATAGATTTTAAGGCCAATTCACACTGCACCGACAGATGACACTTCGCCAGGTTTTGCCGGATCAGTCCGGTACCCCTGTTGTCCTCTCTTAGAGCTTGTTTTTACCGATTGATCGTTGAGTCACGGAATGTCGTACTGTAATCTGGTGATTGTATGTCGGCTTCTGGTAGTGCAGTGTGAATTGGCCTTTTTCTTCAGTACATATTGTCTTTATTTGATTTATTTTATAATAATAATTGCTGAATGTTTTTTACCTGTACCACCAGGGAGAAAATTTGACTTGAGAGTCTATGTTCTTGTGACATCAGTAAGTGAACGTTTTGTATTTCATAAATATGTACAGAAGTAATTTTTCGTTGATAAAGTACTTTCTTCTTCTGCAGTGAGAAACATGTTTAAAAAAATGCATTATTGTTTGCAATTGCACATGAAATTTAAGGGATAGTTCATTTATTCACCCTCAAGTTGTTCCAAACTTGTGTGAATTTCTTTCTTCTGTTGAACACAAAAGAAGATATTTTAAAGAATGTCTGTAACCACACAGTTCATGGACCCAAGTGTTGCCAGACGTACGATAATTATCGTATTTGTTCGATAGTTTTGACCTCTGTACGATGTACGATCAATAACAAAAAAAATCCCATAATGTACGATCAGTGTTGTGTACTCGAGACTCGGACTCGATATTTTAATGGTCTCGGTCTTGTCATGGTGTGCATTTTGACTCGGAATTGACTTGTAGTCGAACATATTAGGACTCTGACTTATTCCCGAGTCCACTCCAGTCCCATTCAAAATATGTCATGATTATTACTGTGTGTTAATATTTCTTTAAATTGTTGTTTGATTGAGACGTCCAATGATTGCTGACTTTCTTGTGCGCAACTGTTTGCGGCGCGCAAATGCAGCAGGACCCAGGTCAGATGTGATGTGGAGCCTCTAGCTCAACTAAAATGTCTGCCTTATCATCCATAATTCAGTTAGTATATAAGAGCCACAAATAATTTGTGTGCAGTAATGTTATGTGAAAGAGCGCTGTTAACTCTACAATAAGTAAATCCACTTCACCAGCTAATTACTCCTAGACAGCGATGCCATAGAAATATACAGAGCAACCACAAAAACGGAAGTTCAAAGACAATATTCCAAAGATGACGGTGCCCACGTTTCTCTGGTGCATAAGGTTTATATTTGCTTTATTGTTTGAGTATGGTGCCAATTTTATTGTTACGACCAAATATTTTACATATTCTTGAAGATATCTTTAAGTCTGGTTTGAGACCCAACCTTAGGTTATCCAACTTCTCTGGTCTCGACTCGGACTCAACTCTCTTTGGTCTCGGTCTTGACTCGGACTCGACTCTCTTTGTTCTCGGTCTCGACTCGGACTCGACCCTCTATGGTATTGGTCTCGACTCTGACTTGACTCTCTTTGGTCTTGGTCTCGGTCTCGACTCGGACTCGACTGTCTTTGGTCTCGGTCCCGACTCGGACTTTACTCTCTTTGGTCTTGTCTCGACTCGGACTCGACTGTCTTTGGTCTCGGTCTCGACTCGGACTTTACTCTCTTTGGTCTTGTCTCGACTCGGACTCGACTGTCTTTGGTCTCGGACTCGACTCTCTTTGGTCTCGCCTCGGACTCGACTGTCTTTGGTCTTGGTCTCGACTCGGACTCGACTCTCTTTGGTCTCGGTCTCGACTCGGACTGGACTCTCTTTGGTCTCGGTCTCGACTTGAACTCGAACTCGGGAAACAATCTGGTCAGCCGCTTGGCTCGTGTACAATAATTTTCTTCCAAATGCGATCATTTTGAGCGTCTGTTACGATACTTGGATATTTCCAATCTGGCAACACTGATGGACCCCACTGACTTATGATACTATGGAAAGTCAATAGGGCCCATGTTTGGTTAACCATAATCTTTCAAAATATCTTATATTTAATGCTAATTGGAACAACTTGAGGGTAAGTAAATGAAGATGGTGTTGAAAAAAGAAGACACCATGTTGAAATTACCGCAATAATGAGATTCCGACTTGTGGAAAAGCTGAGTTTCTACACCAAATTTATTTCTACACCATTTTCTTCCCCAGCATACCTGATGTCTCATTAAAAAAACTAGGCTATAAGTTTGCAAATGCATAATTATAACATAAATAATGCATTTGCAGAATGATTGTTACTTATTATACAATCTTTGGTATTATGGTGAATAGCTCCAAGTACAATGTCCTGGTTGACTTCACATCAGTGTTGACACAAAAATGAACGCTGCATGTTTTGGTATTATGGTGAACAGCTCCAAATACAATGTCCTGGTTGACTTCACATCACTGTTGACACACAAATGACTGTTGCATTTTTAAAACAAGACAGGCAATATAATGAATGTCATTTTGTTTTTGTCAGTATATTCCACTAAAGGCCTGGCTGCATCGTGATGGTTTTGCTAGATTTTCCAACACCAGGTTCTCTCTCAACAGCATAGATGATCAGTGTATCCTTTGCTATATATTTCTGAACTACACTCTATTTTTATTTTACGCCCCATCGTACATAAACAAACATGGAATTCACTTGTTTATCACCGTTAACCTTGATGTAAACAGACGTTCATCTCACCAATGTTGCAGTGCAAAAAACTGCTCCTGATTATGATCCTGAGAAGGTATGTTGAAAGTACACTATTATGTTCATTAAAATATACTTTATTGAAAAGCAGTAATCGCTGACTTGTACTCTCTCCTAGGGTTGTAAGTGGCTGATGCAACAGCTGCGCTGTTATCTGACGGCTAAGCATGGTTTCGAGACAGTGCAGACTCTGTTTAAAGAAATTGACAACATATTTATTCGCAGCTTGCTCAGTGTTCAGAAGACCATCATCAATGACAAACACTGTTTTGAGTTGTACGGATATGACATATTGCTGGACCAGGATTTAAAGCCGTGAGAATGCTTTATTTTGGACTTCATGTTGCTTATCAGATCTGTATGAATGTAGAAATACCTTGCATTGCTAATAAACAACAAAAAAATGACATCAGTTTGCCATCATGCAGGTGGCTAATCGAAGTGAACGCTTCACCCTCCCTCACAGCCAGCAGTCAGGAGGACTATGACCTAAAATACAGACTGCTGGAGGACACCTTGCACATTGTAGACATGGAGGGCCGGTACCATTTGACATTTGACAAACTGCAAAAATTACTTGGAAGAGGGTGGAGGATTTTCTATGTTGACATTGTTGTCCAAAACATTTTATTCTGCTTCAGTCTGACAGGCAAGGAGAAGAGGGTTGGCGGATTTGACCTAATGTGGAACGATGGACCCGTCTACACAGATGTCGGTCTAGAAGCCATGGGTTGTTCTTGCCTCGTGGCAAATACACACCTTGGTTAGTGTCTTTTACTGCCTCATTGGAGATCTTGGCCTATAGTGCACTCAATGAGCCTGTTTCTGTGCATAGTTGAGCTTTTTAGAGACACTCTTAGGCATTTGTGAATTACATCCAGTTCCAACAAGTATATAATACATGCATGATACTTTCTAAACATAGGGTACCAAATAGCACTTTAAGTCTCCAATAAGTTCTGTGGAACATATTTTGTACATATTTTTGGCTACCAAAATATGTTCTTTTGTGTTCAGGTTTGTAATGACATGAGGGGAAATAAATGCTGAAATTTTTTAGGTGTTCATTGTTCAAGCACAAAGTGCTGAAAACCTACTGTAATTGCTAGGAGAAAAAAAAAACCCCTAAAACACATCGTGCAGCCAAAACCGTAAGGCCTAGAGATTGAAACTCAGCCAAATGGTAGAGCATCAAATTGAGGAGAACCTATCAGAGTATGAGCCTGATTGGCCCATAGGTGGCGTTACAGCAACCAAAAGTACTAAATTTCTCATAATTCCTAGACCCTCTGACTTAGTATCAAGGTCTTTACACCACTGTGATCCTTGGCTCAAGACGGACAAGATCTTCACAAAAATTTACGAGCATGTGTCAGAACATGGTGAAGAAGCATGCAAAGTTTCATGGAGATCGGACCATTGGTGGCGCTATAACCGTCAAAAAGGTCTCATTCTTATTAGGTGTTCAAGCACAAAACTATGATAAAACTATCATGCTAGAATCGTGGTAAATCATACTGGAATATGGTAAATAATGAAAATCGCACTGAATTGTAAGTAAGTAAAGTGGTTAAATGCTTGCTACATAAAACTTAATGTCTTTTGTGCTTAAAGGCCTGAACTGCTTGAACACAGCTAAATGCTGCTTGCAGCTTTAGTTTATCTTACATTTTTTCATGAACTATCCCTTTAATGTTAAAAACGTTCAGGAGCTCAGGAATTCTAAATGAGCCAATTTATTTTTCATTTAATTTTATTTATTTATTTGACCAAAAGCTGGTACCGTTTTAAGCCTTGTGTGATTTTATCATTGCCTACAAAATGTTAATGTTGTTAAAATGTTGTTTTAAAAGATGTGGTAACAGGGTTGCAAATAACATATTACGACTACTCTTAAAGGAACACTCCGACTTTTTGGGACTTTAGCCTATTCACCTTACCCCCCAGAGTTAGATAAGTCCATACCTTTTTCATCTCCGTGCGTGCTATAAGTCTGTTTGACGCACCCACCGCTAGCCTAGCTTAGCACAAAGACTGGATGTGAATGGTTGCAGCTTTCATACTAATCCAAATGAGTGACAAAATAACGCAAACGTTTTCCTATTTACATGTTGTGGTTTGTATAGTCACAGAGTGTGCAAATATCAAGGCCATATGAGACACAGACATCTTTTAACCGTATAAATAATTCTGAAGGCGAAGCACTGCTACTTGGGCAGAGTGATAACCGCATCACCTGAGACGCACCGTGACGAGGAGCAGAGAGTTCGCTCAGTGTTTGGGTAACAGAGTCAGCAATTACTAACGTTAGATAGAAAAGCATAGTTTATCATGGGTGTTTGCTTTATTGTATGATCTGTGACAATAAACAGGGGAGACCAGGTAATACAGTACCATTCATTGATTTCCAACCAAAAACACACCCAGATTTATAAATATCACATGAATAAATAATTATTATTACAGGAATCAATATATTTTAAATGCAATTTATTCGCTGAACAAAATGTATTCAACAGTATATAATATACAGTATAATTGCATTACTATAGGATAGAATAAGGGGAAAGTAATAGCACAAATTGTTTTTGCACAATGAACTCACAGCCTATTGTACCCTTTTGCACGCTCAAGTTCGTTATTTGGTTATTTCAAATTTAGGCTACTAGGCGCGCAGGGTGCAAGTTCAACGCGGTGAACGCGCTCGTTTTTTTTCCAAGCGCGTCCGCACCGCATCAAGATAAAAACATATTCATACCCTAATTATATAATAGTGTCACTAACGTTACATTAGCTCTGGCTAATGGCACTGTTACAGTAGGTCATCTAAAAACATAACGGAACACTTACCTCAGCCGCAGGTGATCCACTTGTCCTGTCTGTGCTATCGATGGGATGGCCGTATCCTTCAGCACATTATGGTCCGTGTGGCAAATTCCATTTTTTCAAAATAGTCGTCCTCATTGAAATGTACCGAGCAAACATAATGTCCCTTGATAATCTATTTAGGTGTGTTTGGATAAATATCCAGAGTAAGTTAGCCATTTCTTCATCCAGTCAGCGTTTTTAGTTGGAATTCTGTGAAACATGGTTACCTCCCCTGTTTAAAGTCGCAGCTATTTACAATAGAGCGAAAACCCATGACTAAACTACGCTTTTACTATTTATAAATTGCTGACTCTGTTACCCAAACACTGAGCGAACTCTCCGCTCCTCACCACGGCGTGTCTCAGGTGATGCGGTTATCACTCCGCCAAAGTAGCAGTGCTTCGCCTTCAGAGAATAGTTCCCAGGTTTTATACGGTTAAAAGATGTCTGTGTCTCATTTGACTTTGTTATTTGTACATTCTGTGACTATACAAATCACAACATGTAAATAGGAAAACGTTTGCGTTATTTTGCCACTCATTTGGATTAGTATGAAAGCTGCAACCATTCACATCCAGTCTTTGTGCTAAGCTAGGCTAGCGGTGGGTGCGTCAAACAGACTTATAGCACGCACGGAGATGAAAAAGGTATGTATGGACTTATCCAACTCTGGGGGGGGTAAGGTGAATAGGCTAAAGTCCCAAAAAGTCGGAGTGTTCCTTTAATGATATATGTTCTATTTGCTCTGTTTTCTTTCTTATGAACATGGGATTTGCATTTTTATTGTTTAAACAAATAATGAAACACCTATTTGTGGAATGCATCACATACAGCATTTACTAATGTCTCCTACAATACATGCTTTTTTCTTATTTTGTTTTACAGGCTGCGTGAATGATCGCCAGAAACAGCTTCAACAGCTTCTAAAGCCTTTTCCAGGACAGAAGAGAACATGACATGCAGATGACATCTAATCAGTGTGAAAAACTATGCATTTTCCCACAAATATCTACAATGCGTATAATATTAACCTATACAGATTAGTGTAAATATGAGCATTTAAATACCCAGATAAGATTGCAAAGCCTCGGAACGTTTTCATTTACTTGCTGAAAATGATATGGTCGGTCACTGTTAACCGTTTTAAAATGAGTTTAATGAAATTTCAATGATGGTATCAATCTCTGCATTCAAATAAATACTGTAGACAGAGGCTCTGATGATGTAATGAAAACGTTTTATTTTGGATCTCATAAAAATAGCTACATTCAACTCTACCAAGTGTCAGCAAAATAAAAAGAACAATCTGACAATGATAGGACAAAAGTAGATTTATGTGTTTTTTTGCCTGATAAGGGATACTTTACAGTACATGACATCCACAATGAAATGGTGCTACATACAGTACATCAAGTATGGAAATGTGGGACTGCGTACTGTATGGCATCAACCTGTACCAACTTTCAAGTCATATGCATTGCACATATAAAACTACAAAAGCACTACCATCATTGTTCCAAAAAACAAAACATGCCATATTTAGAGACATGAAGTTCAATGTAATCACCTGAAAAGTTCTCAAGAAGTAAACAAACATAGATAACCTTATCTATTGTATTATCTTAATAGTTCCGTCTTCATCGACACACATCGCACCACAAAACCACCAACAATCCTAACATCACTATTCAACTAAATCTAACTCATTAAAAGGCTAATGTCTTCCAAAACATTCAAAGATAAATAATGAATTACACAAAACATTCTTAACTTAAATTTAAAACCATTGTAATAAACATAAATTATTGAATAAATAACAAGAAAAGAAGTGCTTGTAAATAGCACTTTACAAAAATACAGTCGTTACAAAACATTCATTATTCATCTCAAAAATATACATTCTTTGACCAGTAGTGCTCACTACACAAAATGCCACACACTGACATTCTTAGCCGTACCTCCCTAAAATAAGAGATATGTACATGCACACTGGATTTAACTACGTTTGTTTCATTTTATAGAGTATTTGTGCGTACAGTAAGCAAAGATAACCTGCTTTTATGTACTTAAGCAGATAAAATAAATATATCTTGAAGGAATGCACATTGAAATATACTAAAATGGTGAAAAGGCATGATTTCTAATGAGAAGGATGCATTTTTTAAAGGGATACCACCCAAAAATGAAAATTCTGTCATGATCATTTACGAAAAACATTCTCGTTGTTGCAAACCTGTATGAGTTTCTTTCTTCTGCTGAACACAAAGGAAGATATTTTGAAGAACAATTGGATCCAAATACTATGAAAGTCAATGGTGCCCCACAACTGTTTGGTTCCAATCGTTCTTTCAAAATATCTTCCTTTGCGTTCAGCAGAAGAAAGAAACTCATTCAACTTGAGGGTGAGCAAATGACAGAATTTTCATTTTTGGCTGAACTATCCCTTTAAGGGTGCGGTCACATTTAACCTTTCAACAGAAAACCGCGCAATTTCACCTGAGGCCAAACGGTTTCAAGTTATCATTGACCAAAAGAAAGCTCCTTAATTTTAAAGTTGTGTTGAGTGCTAGAACACAATGGCCAATCAGATGTGTTTAAGAATTTGTTCAACAGCGCTCAAAATGCTAGAAGAAAATGCTGGTATAGTCACATATTTCAAATTTAAGTGCCAACTTGGTACCAAAGTCGTTACTTTTGACAACACTACTGCCATTAGAGAATAGACCTTTTTCCCGCCAAATTTTGCTAATCTGACCGCACCTTTATCCCTTCTACATACAACTACTTTTAACTGCAGTGATATTAGAATTGTTAATTAGCTCTTCTTTACAATATGCGAAATGGAAATGTTTTTGAGGCAACTGAAAATAGGCATGAATGGAGCACTAACTATTTGGCGTACTGAGTATTTTTCACTTTGCCATTAGTCTTAGTACCTGATGGCACTTTTGCGTCGCAGCTGTTGGCGACCATTCTTTTAGTGCCAGATCTTAACCGTACTTCACCTGTTTCGGCTCTTGGACAATCCTTAACCATTTTTTTCCCTGGACCGCCAGCATCCCGCTTTATAGCGGCAGGAACTCGCCTATCAACCCCTTCACATTTCGCTCCAGGTGGATCTTTCTGTTTCTCTGCCTCATTTGACCTCACACTCTTTCCTTTCTTGACCAAAGAATGGGATTTGACATTCGAGTTCAGTTCTTGAGATAACCTGCGCACGTTACCCACGGCCTGCATGTGGTTCTGCTGAGCCTTTGCTCCTTGAGGACTGACCAGGTGCTGGTTTTTCGATGTGGTGCGGCTTTCAGTCCGGCTTTCACTGCTGCTTCTCTTTTGGGTGTTGGCCGGAGGAGCTTTGCGCTCTAAAAGGGGACTGAGGCGGGAATGGCGCTGGTAGGCATACGATGAGCAAGTGCCGTTGCAGAGTGGGTAACGGATATGGCAGTGAGGGCAAACTAGGCGAGAAAGCTGGGTGGATGATGGGCTGCTCACTGAAGAGAAGAAGCCCCGCTGACCCTGGCGAAAGCTTTTCGGAGAGCTGAGGCGAGTCGGAGGAGCAGTGTGAGGCCTGGTCCGGTTGCTGTTTGCTATGACACTGGTGGCATGAACTTTTGTTCGGATGGGCACGACGTGCTCCCCACTTTCAGCCTGAATGGTTTGTATCTGGTGCCACTCCAGCTGGAGGAGGCGCTCCAGATAGTTCTCGAGCTGCCCTACGGGTTTTGGCCGGGGAGCCCTCTTACCCTCCGTGTTGAGGAAAATGGCGAGCTGCCTCAGGCTCCAGGTATTGAATGGAGGTGGCAGGAAGTCTGGGTAGCTGTAGCTGACATCATCCTCCTCCACCAACCTGGGTCCAGGTATGTCGGGATGCAGGTCCATGGAGGTGATCACCTCTGCTCGGAGGTTAAGCTGAGGAGGAGTGCAGGGAGAAGGCAGGACAGGGAGCCTCTCGGAGTCAGACAGGTCGCTGGCGCTGTCCGTGTCGTCCTCCTGGTGCTCCAAAAGGCGGAGTGACTCCAGATCAGGGACGTGATTCTTCAGGGTGAAATGCTGCAGCACTGGCTGAGGAGCCAAGGGCAGCGAGAGAGCACGACGGCTCTTCTCCATGGCCACTTGGCTCAGTACCATCTCTCTACAGCACTGAGGCTCCAGCTGAATTTTCTGCCTCTCCTGTCCACGCTCGGGACATGACAGTTTGGGACGTGAAGGCCTCATGTCTGATTCTCCCTGTGTGCTACAGAAATAGTTCAAGTGAGATATTTTATTAATTTATTAGGGCTGGGTTGACAATATTGATTTTCCTACTTCAATGAAATGATAATGATCTGATATTACTGCGGCGAGTCGAAGTAACTCCAGCAGTTAACTGATGGAACTAATGACCACGAGGAGCTTGCGTTCACTGCCGAATGTACAGTCAGGTAGAGCCACGATTGCTTTGGCCAAGTGGTATTATAGCATAAGGAGCGGGACGCTTCAGATTCTAGAGAGCATTTGATTGGACAGAAGATGTGATGAGAAGCTTAAGTCCACGGTGACATAAAAATCCGTGATCCATTTTAGCAGAAGTTTTGAATGCTTATATCTCCTGAATGCGAATTTTGTTGAGGTTTTGGAACACACCAGCTTATTTATAACATAATGGCTAACATTCACCCTAAGAGCTAAAAAACTTAAATTTTGATTTCAGGGGGCCTCTAACGCTTGTCCGGGATAAGTGGATTTTTTGAAGGGACAAGAAAAAGAGAATTTTACTTGCCCGACCAGACAAGTAGCCTGATTAAAAAGTCAATAACAAAAAAAAAAAAATTACTAGGGTATCACCAATCCATGAGAATGATTAAGATTTCATTACATTTATTGTAAGTTACGATTGATAGTGGATAATAAATGTTAGCCATAACTGACGCCAACAAGGTTGCGCTGTTGAGGCTCACACAAAGAAGCTCAGTCGCATAAAAATTTCAAAATGTCGAGTTTCTTATTTCATTTTTAAACTCGCATATGCCGAGTGCTGTTTTCCTGAATAACATCACGATTTAAAATGTGACAAGATTTCATACAACAGTTCAAGAAATGTTAAAATTAAGTCACTTACATTTTACATGCAATATTGACTGTTTATGTTCTGTTTCAGCAGCAAAAATTGTTTCAAACAAAGATCACACCAGAACGTGCATCTCCCAGCAACACTCAGCCCTGTTTTCATTACTGAATGACTCAGTGTTTCGAATGAAGGTTGAGTCGAAGATTCAATGACACATTCGAAAACAGTTACCTCATTCTTGAATTAATCAGTCGTTTGAACAAATCGTTTGAATGACTCATTGACTCGCTCATGATCAGTTAGAGCATTCAACAGTGAAATATCCATTTGTTGTATTTTAATACTATCCATTGTTACTTATAATAAATTCCATATTCTAAGTTAAACTCACCCACGCAACTTGCAAGTGCCGCCAGTTGGACTCTTAGCTTTCTTTGGTTTAATGCCATTTTGGACCTTGGGAAGATCATGAAAACATATTCAAAATGCTGCAAACAAAAATAAAGACGTTAGATGAATCTTAATGTTTCATATGTAACTTACAATTTTGGCTTTAGGCAGAGGATCCTTCTCCTGGCCTGGATGCAAGGACACTGTTTTTTTGAGAGGTTTCTTATTCTGGTTGACATATCCTCCTCTCTTATTATTGCTGCAAATAAAGCACATATTCTTAGTGAAATATATAATATATTATTTCTGTTTGATTTTAATCAATTGCTCTAATCAAACTTACCTGGCAACAATCCCAGTGTTTTCTGCATTTTTCATTCTAACCTTCTCCTGGTCTGGCACCTTCTTCAGCGTCGCAGACGCAGTTCGTTCCTGCAGGATGGGTCCCATCGCAGCAACACTATGAAGTGTACAGGCGCAGTTTCCAAGCTCTCAGTTGTGCCCAAAAATGTCCCACTTGTGAGCGCATACACGCACTGTGCGACAGAAGAGCATCATTGCAGATATGAAGCGAAATAACAGCGTCACCGCTTATATATATTCCAGTTTGCCAAGAATTAGAGCAATCAATTAAACTGGGTCGAGCAAACAAATTTTTAACAGAGCAATAATCACCTTAGCATCTTGTTCATGAAATTCTCATCATCTTGCACCGAGCGAAACGCGTTGAAATCGCCGTTACTGTGCATCACTACAGCTCGACCAGACTTGTTTACCTGCTGCTTTGTATGTTCAAGCATCGTTGTCGTCGTGATCCTACGACTGGCATGATGGGAATTGAAGTTTATAACTGAAATGCGAGAATGCGGGGTAATTTCACCGCTTCCTGTTATTTTTGTTACTCTTAAAACACGGCAAAAAACCCAAAACAAAATAGGCTACGCAGTATCAAGAGGCTGCTATTGTGGTTGTGTACTGTAAATTCGCAAGAATCACGGTTTTATTCAAATGACCAGAAGTGTTGCCAGATCAACGGTAAACATCCCGGTTAAAAAAAAAACCCATAAAATAAGTAGTGAGCCCTCTTTATCTGGGTCTAAAAAACATCAAAACCACACCTCAAATGCAATGCGAAATCTAAATTGACATTTTTTTTTATGGACTACTGTTATCATTTCGTCTTTAATGGACCCTTGTGATGACGCATTTAACGTAATCAGCATCATAAATCATGCAAAGTTTTTTTTTTTTTTTTTTCATTTTTTAACACCATATATAGCTATTATATTACCTTTGCATCAAATTACAAAAAAGTAGTTAATGCTGCTGTAATAGGTGTTTCTATACAGCTGCTGTGGAAGTGATGTAAATTCGAGCATCTTTTTTCACTTCTGACTGCCGTTATCATGATAATCTCAATTTTTTTATTATTATTACTCTTTTT